AAACTCGCTCACGTGTCATTCTGTCTCACGAGTGTCGTGAAGACGTGGTTCCTCAACCACTTCATCGACATCCCTGACTGCTCAGCCTTCAAAGATCAGCTTCGCCATGTCTTTGGCACACCGGCTGTTCGTTCAACTCTCGCAAAGAAAGTTCTCGCGACTCGAAAACAGCACACCGGGGAGTCGTATACATCCTACATCGAGGATGTTCTTTCACTTTGCCGCCGGGTTGACACACCAATGACAGAGTCGGACAAGGTGCACCAGCTTCTTAAGGGAATTGCACCCATCGCAATCCATGCCCTTGCAATCCAGAATCCGGCTACCGTTGCTAACGTTGCAACAACCTGTCAGCGCCTCGAGAACAACTTGAGTATGCGCTTACAACCGGACAGTGACGCGGCCTGTATTACGGCGGATCCAAACCTACGAGACACGATAAGGGCGATTATAAGCGAAGAATTAGAATCAATGGGATTCACACTACCCTCAGTGTGTCTCATTCAGTCTTCTTCAACGTCATTGCAGGATGTCATCAGGAGGAGCTCACGTCCATGACCCACCTGTAGCCCACTGTGCTCATACTCTTCCATCGTTCCCGCACACCGCCACCGCGCCACCAGGCACCGTCAGCTTGACGTCCCCGCCACGAACGTACGCGTGGGTTGCTGCCGCACCTCCCACAAGCTTTCCCACGAGCTTTCCATCACCACTACCTGAGCCGTCATCTGTCCCTCTCACTGCTCTCTCTCCCGGTGCAGTTAGCGCAAGCTACTATCCTCCTTATCGATCGACTCGCCCTTCGTGCTATTATTGCGGCTATTGTGGTCACATTTCACGCTTTTGCCGCAAGCGCCAGCGAGACGAGTGTCGAGGGTACGACATACGCGAACGGGACTATACCGCAGGAGCCTTGTTTCAGGGCCGCCGTTATTCGTCACCACTGCGTCGGTCTCTATCTCTGCCAGCATCGGGTGAACTGCGCAGTAGTCATCGATCAACCCGACGCCGTTCACCATCGCCCTACCGTCGCTCCTCTTCTCCTCTTCAGCCTGCTTCCCTCGCTTCTGATCGGCGTCCGGAAAACTAAGCGATGCAGTTTTTGGAGGACAAACTGCATTCCAACACAGGACTCCAATTCCTCCAGCGCACCCTTACAATATGATTGCGGTCACAGTTGAGGGAGTGGACGTTGATGCTTTGGTGGACACTGGGGCTGCATTTTCTGTTATTCGTGCTGATTTGTGTGCCCGTCTTCGAAAAGTCACGACGCCTTATGATGGGCCAACACTGGTTACAGTCCAGGGAACAATGATTCACCTTTCTGCTCTCTGTACTGCCCCTGTACTAATCGACGAAATTCTTCATCATATAGAATTTGGTGTGCTATACCCGTGCTCCCACGAACTCATTTTAGACTTTCTTTCCTCTTTTTCTGGGGCTATTTGTTGTGCACAATGTGTCGTCCATCTTACTAACATGGACCACTTGCTCAACGCGAAACCTACAGGCCACTTCGACTCATCGCTGCTGTAGACAGCGAGTTACCATCACACGAACATAAATTAGTCACAGTTTTGTGTAACGACGTGGACTCTGGTGACAATTTGGTCACTCCACCACCACGTTGCCTTAATAAAGGCATAGCTCTCACATCAGGTGTGGCTCGCTTCAACAATGGATCAACTGACCTCGCTGCTACCAACACCACACCAGATAAAATTTTACTGCCACGGGGCACTACTGTCGCCTGCGTTGCTGATCTGGAGCCCGTGTGCGTTGTGCCTCTTACCCCTGTCTCCTCTAAAGGCCATCCTGCAGATCATGCTGCTTCCTCGGCCTTTACAGCAGCCATCAACAAAGACTTGACAGACTCACAGAAGCAGCAGCTGCTTGATTTATTGGAAAGGCATGCAAACTCCTTTGACGTTAATTCATCGACCCTGGGCCAGACAACCGCTACAGCACATCGTATTCAGACCGACGGAACATCCATTTTGCACCTCCGTCCGTACCGCGTTTCTCTAGCCGAACGAAAAATCATTGAAGAAAACGTAGACGATATGCTGCAACTGGAGATAATTCGACCCTCAACCAGTCCTTGGTCGTCTCCTATCGTTCTGGTGCGTAAAAAAGATGGTTCCTTATGATTTTGCGTCGATTACCGAGCACTCAATAAGATCACTAGGAAGGACGTATACCCCATGCCACGCATCGACGACGCCCTCGATTTCTTACAGGGTGCTGAATACTTTTCGAGCCTCGACATGCGTTCCGGCTATTGGCAAATCCCCATGCATGAAGATGATAAACAAAAAACAGTGTTTGCAACCCCGGACGGCCTATACAAATTCAATGTTATGCCATTCGGTCTATGCAATGCGCCCGCAACTTTTGAGCGCATGATCGACACCGTGCTGCGTGGCCTGAAATGGAAGACTTGCCTATGTTATCTCGATAACATAGTTGTCTTTTTATCGACGTTTCCTCAACTTCTGCAATGCTTGGATGAGGTCCTGACTTGTCTTGCGGGCACTGGTCTTCAAATTAACACCAAAAAGTGCCATTTCGCCAGCAGATCAATCAAGGTCCTCTGTCATGTTGTGATCAAGAACAGAATTCGTCCAGACCCTGATAAAACTGCTGCAGTGCTTCACTTCCCTCGCCCTGACAAACCGAAAGATTGGCGGTTTCCTTGGTCTTGCCTCTTACTTTCGGCGATTCATACAAAACTTTGCCTCCATAGACGCACCACTCCATAAGCTACTTGCTTCCGGTATGCCCTTTCAGTGGTCTCTCGAATGTGAATCGGCTTTTGACAGGTTGAAGAGTGCCCTCACGACCGACCCTGTAGCTTTCTCATTTTCACGATGATGCACCGACCTTCCTGCACACAGACGCTAGCAACTGCGGTTTAAGAGCCGTGCTCGTGCAACGCGACAACTCTTCGCGAGACCGAGTCGTTGCATACGCCAGTCGTGTCCTCTCCGCAACCGAGAGGAACTACACAATCACCGAGCAGGAGTGCCTCGCCATCGTTTGGTCAGTGCAGAAATTTCATCCATATCTGCATGGCCGCCATTTCACCATTGTGACCGACCACCACGCTTTATGTTGGCTTTCGACACTCAAGAACTTGTCGGGACGCCTCTCTGCTGCTGAATTCTACGCCTCCAAGAATATGATTTTGAGATCGTATACAAGTGTGGCAGGAAGCACAGTGACACCGACGCTCTTTCTCGCTGCCCACTACCAGCGACTCCACTCGGGGTTTCCGCAATCACTTTGCACAACACACCCTCGGAGTCCACGTCTACGGCGGTTTCCTCTCTCGCCTCTATGGACCAGCTGCCTTCGGACGAACCCCACGATTTTCCTTCTCGACAGTGGGCTGACCCATACAGTCGACGTATTATAGGCTACCTCACTGGCAGTTCCCGTCCAACCAATGCAAGGCTTCGTGGCCAACTCTCACAATTTAAGCTGGACAACTCGGTGCTGCACCGCAAAATTTACCATCCTGATGGTCAGCCCTGAGTTCCTGTTCTACCTCGATCGCTTCAATCCGAAGTCCTCAGAGCGCTTCATGACCATCCGACTGCTGGTCACCTTGGTTACCATAAAACCTACGATTGCTTCGAAGTCGGTTTTATTGGCCAGGCATTACCACTATTGTAGCTCGGTATGTCGGGTTCTGCACTACCTGCCAACGTAGAAAACTACCAACATCTGCTCCAGCCGGTACACTACAGCCTCTTTCGTGCCCAGCCACACCATGCGAAGTTGTAGGCATCGATCTTCATGGCCCCCTTCCGGTCAGTGCTGCTGGAAACCGATGGATAGTAACAGCCGTTGACCATTTGACGCGCTACGCCGAGATGGCATCCGTCACTACCGGTCCAGCTTCTGAAATTGCCGATTTCATCCTCCGAGCCATTATACTGCGTCATGGTGCTCCACGTGTATTGCTCAGTGACCGTGGAAGGGCCTTCTTTTCACAACTAGTGAACTAACTTCTTTCGCGCCCCTGGCACAACACACAAGACTGCCTCTAGTTATCATCCCCAGACTAACAACCTCACTGAGCGATTCCACCGCACTCTTGCTGACATGATCGCCGCCTATATTCAACCAGACCACAAAAACTGGGACGTAGTTCTACCATTCGTCACTTTTGCCTACAATACGGCCATTCAGCGGACAACCGGCTACTCTACCATTTTACCTAGTTTATGGATGCTTCCCTACTTCTTTCCTGGACGTCTCTTTCTTTACCTGCCAAGCGGATTCATCTCCATCCTCTTCAGAGGAATACGTTTTATGACTCGCACAGTGCCGCCAACGTGCTCGTATAAACACTGAAGCCCGACAGCAAGACAGAAAGCTAGTTTATGATGAATCACATTGTGCTGTATTCTTCCAACCTGGAGACGAAGTGCTCCTTTTAACGCCTATTCACACACCTGGTTTGTGCGACAAATTTCAGCCACGGTTTATCAGGCCGTACACAGTTCTTGAAGAGACTTCACCAGTGAACTATCGCGTGACGCCACTTGTAGCCCCAGCAGATCGCCGTTATCGAACAACAGAGGTCATCCATGTCTCCCGTATGAAGCCCTTCATGCGACGTTCTTTGTCCCTTTGACTTGCCGCGGCCAGGCTGGCCGCTTTCACGTGGGGGGAATTGGTGTGGGCATTTAGTATACGCATCCTCTTCACCTGTACATTATCATCATTATCATGTGTGGCTCATGCATCCTCATCGTTGTCGCGTAGCATCATCATCTTGGTTCATTTATTGTAGCTGTCCGCTGCCGGTTCCTCGGGCCTAATAAAGGTCATGCAAACCATGACTTCTTAGTAGTAATAATAACCATATTAGTAGTAATCACAGAAGTACAGTAAAATCTCATTAACCCGGATCTCGTGGGACCGGTGAAAATGTCAGAGTTAATTGAATTCCGGATTATCAAATCGACCATCAAAACAAAAGGAAAATGTACTCGTCATAGATAAACCTTTATTTCATGAAAAGCTGCGTCAACTTAGTCTGTCTCGTCATTGGAATCAGTGCTAGAACGATCTTCTTTTACCTCTGGTGGTGGTGCGCACGCTCGCTGTCCCGAGAAGTGATGCCCAACTCCGCGAGGACAGTGAGAGCTTCGGCGGCCTCCTGCACAGTGCGATTTCGCATCGGCTCATCTTGAATGTTATTAAACGGAACAGTAATTCTGATTCTCTTCAAGCACTTCCGATAATATGTCATCATCAGTCAGCAAACTAGCAACGGCCACACCATCAACGCGCACAAACACAGCCCGAAAACGTAACAACAGTTTCAATGTCAAAGTGCCAACTCACCCAACATTCAACCCTTTTGATGTACCCAAGCTGCACGCGCTATGCGCGAAGTCACTACGCAAAGAAACCAGCAGCGTAGGCATCACGGGCAACTGGAGTAGCGGCGGCTGCGCAAACTGTCCCGTGCGGCGAATTTCGCAGACACTGGATGCACCGGCGTCCCAAGCGCTTCCGCTGGGTAGTGACTGGTGCCACCTGGCTACTTCCCCCTCATTCACTCTCATATTCTGCTGCTGTTCGTTCGGTTGTTCGAAAACTTCAGTTCCACTGTCAGTTACAGCGGTGGAGCCGGGACTTCATGCTCTCAGTAACCGGAATCGGTTACCGAAAGCATGAAGCCCCGATAGCCCTCTCGGAATCGTCCGAGCAAACCGGTGTGCATCTAAATCCCTCCAAATTAACGCGCATTTGACACCATTGCAATATACACAGTCGCTCCAGGACTATGCCGCGTGCCCGGGTTAATGAGATCCAAATAAACGAGCTTTTACTGTAGAAGTAGTGATAGGAGGTGTCCGCAAGAGGGTGGCGAATAAGGAAGTGTATAGAAGAATAAAACAAGCTTGCTAAATGACGAATTGATGATGCACGTGAACTCGTTCTGCCAATCACTTACACTCGCTCGCTAACAGCTTCGCTGTTCAAAGGCCTTTACAGTGTGGACCTGGATGAATTTTTTTTATTTCATACTGATGTCCTACTGCAGCAGGAGACCAGCCTGTCCTGTTTTTATCTCGTCCTTTGTATTCATTCTAGCGCTTCCACTTTATATCAGTAGAAACCCAAACGAACTTGCCTGCCTATCTTATTCTGTAATGTTGTTTTTTCATCTGTATGTCATAGACGTTGCTTGGGTGCTGCAAAAGACAATGACGTGCTAAAATGTCTTGATTCTTGAAGCTGTATTCACATGACGGACGTGATCCGCTGACGGATTAGTAGCGTCACATGTGGCGTAATTCCAATCCCTCCACAGCCAGCATTCACACGACAGGTGAGAATTCACACGACAGGTGAGAATTCACACTACAAGTGAGGGTTTCGGCATTGGTGCATGAGGATCCCAACAGCAATTTGGGCTTCCGTCGCTTTCGTGGACTGAAGCGGGAACGGCTGACGTATGGTGGTGTAGTAAGCAATCCTCAGGCTAGAATCGCGATTTGGTTCGTCGTGTAAATACAGCTTTAGCGAGCTTGCTGTCACCGGAATAGAATGAACAGAGCTTTCTCTGACAGTCAGTTCAACGAGGACATGCGTATAAGTCAGGGTTGTATGCAGAAACTTTTTTCGGGAGAGGAGGGGCACCTCGAATTGAAGTGGGAGCCGAGAAAGCAAATGGTCATGTTGTGCTATGTATGCATAGAAAAAAATATTTTTGGAGAGATGGGAGGGGGGGGGGGGGGGCATGGGCTCGAAGTGCGTCACTTGGCTATGCCACTGGTGAGAGTTGAAACACTATTGGCCTGTATGACCCAACGAATTGACAAAGGTAACAGAGAGAGTTAAAGCATCAATAACGTAACCTTGTTCAGATCTTCCGGTACAAACTTGGGAATGGGGAGGCGGGAGTGGGGCGGGCAGCGAAGAGTGCGACGCCGGACAACTGATGCCGCCATCTCGAGCCCTCTTCCGCTGTGTTGAGGCGGAATGGAAGAAGAGGAGCTGAAACTAAGACTCCGAGCGTCTATACAAACAGAAAGTGTGTGCCTGGGGACGTGACAAACAGAGAGCTTGCCAATGAGGCAATGGGCTAGGAAAGAGGAAAGAAAAAGAGAGAGGGGGTCGAAATCGGACCAGACGTACGAAAAGAAAGTGATGAGAAAAAAGGCCGAGCATCAACATATTGAGCGAGGCGAAATAAAATAAACGAGCGAGTGCACATGTGTGCAAGGAAGGAAAAAAATGCCATGCAAAAGCCTTCAGCGAGAGGTGCAAACTCAAAAAAGAACGTAAAAATGAAGGAGGGGAAAAAAAGAGAAAAAAAAGATGCTAGAAGAAGCCACAAACGCTACACTGATGTCGCGGAAGACGGGCAGATGGCCTGCAAGTGGGAAAAAGGCGAGGTTGGCTCGTCGTTAAGTGGAAGAGAGAGTGAAGGAACCAACGATAAGGATGAAAAGTGTAGGAAATGAAGGAAGGCGCCTAATCAGGTTTTGACGTGCCATTGTGGCCATCGGATATACTGGCTTCCGAGGTGGCCTAAGAAGGACGTCCACACTCTCAAGATCAGGAAGGAACTGACAGACCCCTTTTTTTTATTTCAAGTTCCTCGAGCGCCCACGAGCTCGGCGCAGATCTACTTCATTTTCCTCGCGGAAAGGCGCGAGGCATGCACCGAGCGTAGTCTACTATCGCTCGTCACATGCCCGGGATCGGAAACTAGTCGTCCCAACTTCATACACAAAACACTAAGACAGACATGACTTAACTAACTTAAGCAATCCTATCTGTAACTATTTACAAAAGTCAACAAAACATTGTCTATCCACTTTCAGGCACACAAAACTATATACAAGCACCAAAAACTATTTACACTGCACCCGTGTACACTTTAGTCCGAAGCATTGGGTTGCCCCATGTGAGCAATGGGGCTCAGATATGGTCTTAATTTTTCAACATGCACAATGTCACTTCCCATGTTGTCCACGAGTTCTATCTCGTAGTTCACGGGAGATAGTCTGTTCACTATCTTGTGAGGTCCGGTGTATGATGTAGTTGTTTTCACACCGGACGTTGGAGTTGTCCTCTTTCACCGGAGTTGTCCTCTTTCAAACACAACGTCCTTGTGATGCTTGTCGAAGTGCCGCTTCCGTTTTTATTGAGCTAGTCGGATGTGCGTGGCTGCGAGCTCTCTGGCTTTTTGTAGTTGTTCACGCATTACCGTGAAATAGTTTGAATCTTCTTTGAGCTTTCAGGCTCTCAACGGCTGTATACAATATCTAATGGTAGCAACGGATTCCTACCGTAGACCAGGAAGAAGGGAGTTTGGCGAACCTTGTCTTGGTACACGGTGTTGTAACAAAATACAATATATGAGAGTACATCGGCCATTTTTCTCCCCCGGTGGTAGTCATGGCAATCATCTGTTTTATTGTCTTATTGGCTCTTTCGCACAAGCCGTTTGCTGCGGGATGATATGCGGTAGTGGCAGCATGTCTGATGCCCCGATGTTTGAGGTATGCTTCAGTAGAGTGCGCCATCATTTGAGCACCACGGTCTGTGATAATTGTGGCTGGGCATCCGTGCTTCAAAATAATCCGTTGTTTGACAAACTTCTGGACAATTGCGGCCTCTATGTTCCAGAGTGGTTGTGCCTCCACGAACTTTGTGAGGTAATCAATGGCTACAATGATGTACTTGTAACCTCTTGAAGTTTTGAATGGCCCTATTATGTCCATCCCAACTGTGTGAAATGGGCTGTGGACTTCTATTGGCTGTGATAGACCATAAAGCACCGATGTCAACATCTTCATCCTCTGACAAAGGTCACAGTGACGCACGTACTGTCTGACATCTGCACAGAGCTTTGCCCAGTAATACTTAGACCTAAGGGCATCGAATGTTCGCCTGATACCCATGTGGCTACCGTATCGTCCTTCATGCATTTCACAGAGTGCCCCAGCTCGTCGTTGTGCAGGAAAGCAGAGGAAAAATCGACTGCTGACTGGGCCTTGGTCTCTTTTGTACTACACCTCGTTATACGTGATAAACTTATTTTGCACGCGTGTCTGTTGCTTTTTTGTGCCCAGCACGCCCCGAAGCATATCCAGGACTTTAGCGCAGAATGCATCCTGACGCTGCTCCCCACTCATGTTGTCACAGAATCGCAGTGATGGATATGATACTGCAAGAATTGGTTCAGCATCGTCAACAACAGGGGGATTCCTAGAAAGACAATCTGGTGCGCTGTGCAGAATTCCTGATTTATAGATGACATCAAAGTCAAATTCCTGCAGAATCGGTGACCAACGAAGAAGGCGTTGGTTTCCTTCCTTGTAGCGCAAAAACCAGCGCAGTGCATGGTGGTCGCTGACAACTTGAAATTTTTGCCAATCATGTACGGTCGTAGCTCTTCTAACACCCATTTCACTGCAAGAGCTTCCAGTTCCGTTGAAGAATAATTATACTCTGCGCCTATGAGAGATCGACTCAAGTATAGCACTGGACAATATCATCGCTCTTCATCCTCTTGTAGCAATAGACCTCCCGAGCCGAGCCGAGATGCATCTGTGTGTACTTGGACACAAACTCTGGTTTTTCGGAGAATAGCTTAAGGACAGGCGGCTGGCACAACGTGCGCTGGCACAACGTGCTCTCAAATGCCACTTGCTGATCGTCTTCCCAAGAAAAAGTAGCGTTTTTCTTTAGGAGTGATCGAAGAGGTGCTGCGATAACGCTGTAATTTGGGATAAACTTCCGGCCGGTCTCGTCCTCTCACATATGGCGCAGTCGCCATCCGAAACCTGCTACAGCCACTTTGTCGCTAAGTAAGTCGCCGTGCCTTCGACGAAACGTTGAACGCCAAACGAGCCCTAAGCCTAACCAGCCCAATGTGTCAACGACGATGTCGCTCACCAACTGGCCGTGTTGCCACCCCTGAAGACCTTGCCGCCGTGAGTGTACAGTTAATTCGAACTGAATTGTAATGCCGCAGTCTCTCCACAACCGGCAACAAGGAGAAACTCATCAACCGACTTTTAGTTGACATCGCGAAAAATCCACCGCCAGCTCATGAACCCGAGCCAAGCGCGTCCGACATTTCAATGCCGCTAACGGCCACGCCAGCACCTATGGTGTCGTTCCCAGCCATGC